TGTGTGTGTGTGTGTGTGCTGTGTGTGTGTGGTGTGTGTGTGTGTTGTTGTGTGTGTTGTTGGTGTGTGTGTGTGTGTAGGTGTGTGTGTGTGTGTGTGTAGGTGTGTGTGTGTGTGGATGTGTGTGTGGGTGTGTAGGTGTGTGTGTGTATAGGTGTATATGGTGTAGGTGTGTGTGTGTCGTGTGTGGTGTGTGTGTGTGTGTGTGTGTGTGTGTGTGTGTGTGTGGTGGTGTGTGTGTGTGTGTGTGTGTGTTGTGTGTGTGTGTGTAGGTGTAGTGTAGGTGTGTGTGGTGTTTGTGTGTGTGTGTGTGTGTGTGGTGTGTGTGTGTGTGTGTGTGTGTGTTGTGTGTGTGTTGTGTGTGTTGTGTGTGTGTGTGTGTGTGTGTTGTGTGTGTGTGTGTGTGTGTGTGTGTGTGTACCCGTGTGTATGTACCTGTGTGTGTGTGCCTGTAAGCATATGAGTGTTCATGTCATAAGAGTTATAGGTATCCCTGCTGTTATAGCAAAGTGGAATGAGTAGTGGACTCTGAATTGTAGCTATAGTTGTGTGCCCAACTTTCCTGAATTCAGCCACCTCCCTATTGTAGGTAGACATAGCCTTGCAGTTCTTGTTTTTCTTCCTTTTTCACATTTTCTTTATTACTTTCTTGTTTTCTTGTTACTTTCATGAATGTTGATTTAGCCGTGGCCCTTTTTCCAGCAGGCCTTCCGTGGTCAGGGGGTGCTAAGTATCTCTGTTTTTTTTATAATTGAGTTCTTTCTCAAATTTATGGTTTTGCTATTTTTATGTGGAATTGTTGTTCTGTTGTCTGGTGATGTTGAGCTTAAGCCTGGTGCTAGCCATCCAAAGTATTGGAACTTACTTTTTAGTAATATTTGTGGACTTCATGGGAATTTCAATGAACTTGCAATTATCTCTGGTTTCAGATGAGGCACACATCAAGAGTTGCTTTTACCAAAATTTACTTAATCCTTGTTGCTATGTAGGAATTCTCTGCTTCGAGCCCAAGGTTTGTGTTTACATTCTAGGGTTGGTTTTAATGCCAGTTTATTTATAAAGCATGAATGTTGCTGTCATAAATATATGGTTGGGAGAGTGTGTAGTTATTTTAATAATTTCTACATTTTTACTCTTTATAGAAGTCCCAACTTTGATGACTGCATCCATGACTGTTTGCTGACTTTGTACATTTCTATTCAAGAAAATGATAATAAATCATGCTTTATATTCATAGGTGATTTTCATGCTCACCACCAAGACTGGCTGAATTCTGTGTCCCCAACCGACCAACATGGCATTTCTGCCTTAGATGTTAGATGTAGTTGGGTGTGAGCAGTTAGTCCATGGTGCAACTCACAGGAATGGTAAGCTTTAGGATCTTGTTCTTGTAGTAACTGATATGAGAGGGGTAATTGATGTAGACTCCATCATGCAAAAAGGTTCTTCCGACCACTGTAGTCTAGCAGCTTGACTTTCCTATACCAGATTTTACTCTAACTAGAAAAGTCTTCTTAAAAATAAGAATTAATTGGGATTGTGTCTACCAAGCTTTTGATAACAATGTTTGGCAAAATGTTTATAATGCTCCTTGTCCTGTTAAAGCTCTGAATTTGTTATTGTTGGACATTATGACAAGATTTGTAACCAGCAAATCTCATTCCCATGATAGTGCATGGTTTAATGACTAGGCTTATAGGGACAAACATGTTGCCCACAATCTCTGGTCTGCTAACTCTTCATTGTTGTAACAATTATGTTGTCATGTGAAACAGCAACTAATGTTTATAAGGAGGCTAAATCTGAATATAATGCTCAATTGAAAGAAGTTCTCTCACAAGCCTCACAGCCTCATAAATGGTGATCAACATTTAAAGCATCCCTGGTCTTGAGTCCTCCATTCCTCCTTTAATGAAACCTGATAGTAGTGTTACATACCATCCAATAGAGAAAGCTACCTTGTTAGCAGATTGTTTTATTTCAAAACAAAGTTTAGATGATACTGAACTTCCTCTTTCATGTCACCCATTACCATGCTTTAATTCATTTGCTTTCAGGTCCTCTGAAATCAAGTATCTGTTATCAGAATTAGATGAATATGGTGGAGTAGACCCTAATGGCTTGTTTCCTTTGATTTAAAAAGA